TATTTGACTGGTTTACGGTTATCACTGTTAGAGAAAGTAAAAGAAAATCCCAAATTTTGAGTTGTCACCAAAGCAGGAATCGAGAGGATTTCTTTCAATGGGGACCATAGTCCTAGTGCCACCCTGGGATTTCCTCTCACTTCCTGTTTTGGTTATGGTACAGGAAGTGAAGAGAAATACCCCCCCCAGTAGGACTCAGATGGTTTAAAAGAGAGAAAACTAGAAAGGGATTATAATCCTTCCTTATTCTATCCAAAATAAAGAAAAATGGGTTTTGCCTTTAGTTCTACTTAATCTAGACTGCAGGTACAAAGAGGCAGCATATGCCCCAGACCGAGGCAAAGTAAGCTTTAATAATTGCCTGAAGATATTCAATTCTCACAAATTATTGCATTTAAAATCAGCCTAGATGGTTTCAGCTTGATCTCCCCTTTTCTACCCACCCTCCATTTTTATTTTTTTTATTTATTTTTTTTAGGGGCCTTGAAGACCTTTTCTTTAAGATGGTATATTCTAGCACTTTATTTTCTGACGTTTGTCACTGAAGCACACTTTCTGTGACGTTGACACAGATTATACTTTTTGTACTTACTGTATTGTACTATTCCACTTATTGCCATTTTGTACTTTTAATTACGTTTTTTTACTGTTCAAAAAAGCAGCCTCCTGGAGATCCAGTCAAGTGGGTGAGGCCCACTCTGAGAAAATATTACAATCAGCCCCCCCTATGCTTATTCGACAGTAACATTGTAACTTTGCATTAAGTGACAAGATGAAAGGCTCCTAGTGCAGCCTATCTGAATGACACCAAACGTATGGAATTAGAACATCTAGAGGAAAGCATTCCATCTAGGAAGTAGATTCTGATGCTGGATGACACCTGAACAAAAGGTGACACTGGTCCTTTGGGAGAAACGGTAGAGGGAAGAATTGTCAGTGGGAATACCGTGTTCTCTATGAGAGGGAATAAATACACACAAGTTACACATTACATGCTATGAATACACCAATTATGAGTAACTGGTTTAATGCCCCTTCAAATAGCTTGCTTGAGCTTAGCTGGCCTGAAAAAAAAACCCACCATTTACTGCACCCATTATACAGAGCTATGTTCCAACAGAGGGATGCAGATTTTCCCGTCCCACTCCCGGAACAAAGTAGAGTTGGACTGTGAGCTGCTCAGCCATTCACAGGGAGCTTTGTATTCCATGAATCAATACAAAGCTTCCTCAGATTGGCTGAGGTGGAGAGGTGGCGAATGTCATCTTGATATCTGAATAACATAGAATACAAAGCTTCCCATGAATGGCTAATCAGCGCTTGCAATAGCATGCCAACTATTTAAAAAGGGACACTAAACATAGAGTTAATCTTTCAAGTGGTTGTGAAGGCTCAAGGTTTTCTACGTTATACATTCTATGCATGCAGGTTAAAAACATTCTCTGTGCAGCCCCTCCAATACTCACCTAAGCCTCCTCTCGATCCAGTGATGTGTACTGGAGTCTCGGATATCCCGGGACTCCCTCTCTTCATTGCCTGAGACAGAAGCGGGAGCCATCGGCTCCCACTGCTGTCAATCACAGCCAGTGAGCCAATGAGAAGAGAAAGGGGGTGGGGCAGAGCCGCAGCTGTGTGTGTGTGAGTGGACACAGGGAGCAGCAGGTGCCCCCATAGCAAGCTGCTTGCTGTGGAGGAACCGGGCAGGGGAGGGGAGCGGCCAGGAGCGCCGGCAGGGACCCGAGAAGAGGAGAATCCGGGCTGCTCTGTGCAAAACCACTGCACACATACAGGTAAGTATAGACGTTTGTTAAGGTACAGTCCACTGGTGGCAGTCCTGTAAAAGGTTATGAGAGGCTGAAATATGCAATGGTGGTATGCTGTTGTGATTAGTACTTGCATTCCTGGCTATATGTGATCAGAACCATATGCCCTGAACATCGTACAGCTGTATATTTCAGCCTGTCATTGATTTTGTGTACTGGGCACCAGCCTACATCCAGTTTTCATGCTATAAGGGCAAATGTTCCCATGTGTATGAACCTTGAGCTTCGTTCACATGGGCATACTTGGGCACACACGTAACGTGAGGGCTGTTTGCCTGCACAGGTATAGTTGTGTTCAAAATAATAGCAGTCAGACATCACTAACCTGATCAATCACTGTTTTTGGTAGAAATGATATTTCTACATGGCAAATAATTTACTAGCAGGTGTAGTAGAGTAATAGAAATCCAACAGTCATGACATGCATGCTGCTGATTCTGTGTAATTGAATCACTAATTGAAAGGAGCATGTTCAAAATAATAGCAGTGTGGAGTTCTATTAGTGAGGTCATTCATTCTTTGAAAAACAGGTGGCAATTATTACCCTTATTTAAGGAAGGAAGGCAGCAAATGTTGTACATGCTGGTTACAGTGCATTTCTCTCTGAAATTCTGAGGAAAATGGGTCATTCCAGAAATTGTTCAGAAGAACAGCATACCTTGATTAAAAAGTTGATTGGAGAGGGGAAAACATATAAAGAAGTGCAGAAAATGATAGGCTGCTCAGCTAAAATGATCACAAATGCTTTAAAATGACAACTAAAACCCGAAAGACGTGGAAGAAAGCAAAAAACTAGAAAATGTATATGATGTAGGGTGTGCTTGTTGGAGCCCAAGCTCTATAGCTGTAAGGTAAAAGGTACCAGATGGATATCAGGGATGGATGGATGGATGGATAGGAGCAGTAACACTGAGGCAGCTCTTGTTAGAGTGGAAGCAAGGCTCTAATGCAGTAACAAGAAAAAGAGAGGAAGGCGCCTCTAAGTGCAGTATTGACACTAGATTCAATTTTCCATTGTTTACTAAATAATTTGTCAATACTGCACTTTTTGTGCAACATTTTGTGGACTGATGAAAGTTAGATTGTTCTTTTTGGGTCTAGTGGCCGGAGACAGTTTGTCAGACGACCCCCAAACACTGAATTCAAGCCACAGTACACTGTGAAGACAGTGAAGCATGGTTGCGCAAGCATCATGATATGGGGATGTTTCTCATACTACGGTGTTGGGCCTATTTATCGCATACCAGGGATCATGGATCAGTTTGAATACATCAGAATACTTGAAGAGGTCATGCTGAAGAGGAAATGCCATTGAAATGGGTGTTCCAACAAGACAACGACCCCAAAACACACCAGTAAACGTGCAACATCTTGGTTCCAGACCAACAAGATTGACGTTATGGAGTGGCCAGCCCAATCCCCGGATCTTAATCCAATAGAAAACTTGTGGGGCGACATCAAAAATGCAGTTTCTGAGGCAAACCAAGAAATAGAGAACTGTGGAATGTAGTCCAATCATCCTGGGCTGGAATACCTGTTCACAGGTGCCAGAAGTTGGTTGACTCATGCAACACAGATGTACAGCAGTTCTCAGAAACAGTGCTTATACAACTAAATATTCATTAAGTAATTCAAAGGAAAGCAAAATCTTCAAACATTTTTCAGTTTATATAGTGAATGTTTGAGTTTGTAAAGAAGAATACAAACACTGCTATTTTTTTGAACAGTCTAATATTCACTTTTCTTCAATTTTTTTTTTTAGAGGAACAACACAAATTTGATATATTTTTCTTCATGTTTTGATTGGAATAGAATGTGTAGTGTTCCCAATGCATTTGTGTGTATGGAAATAAAAGCTATTAGAAGGATTTTGAGCTTTATTCACTTTTTTCAACACACTGCTATTATTTTGAACACAACTGTAGTTCCATTCGAGTCAAATGGGATGCAGCAACTGTACTGATACAGCCACTGCTCCCATTTGGCCACCATGGGGGGTGTATATTTGGCAACACCTGCACAGATATCAGACTGGGAGCAGAAGCTGTGTCTGTGCAGTCGCTGCATCCCAGTCAGCATGAAAAGAACTGCCTGCTAAGGGATGCATGGAACACCTGGGCATCCCTGTGCAGGCAAAGACAGCCCTTGCATCGCCGTACCTTTAAGTATGCCCAAGTAAGCAATTCCTTAAAGCAGTGATCTCCAAACTGTGGCCCAGGGGCCGGATGTGGCCCTTTGCTTGCCTTTATCAGGCCCTTGGGGCACTATTTCTTCTAATGACACCAACAATGGGGTATAATTACTGTTACCAACAATAGGGCACTATTCCAAATGATGACACACTATTCAGACCACTGACACCAATGTTATGGAACTATTCTTCCCACACACACCAATGATGAGACACTATTCCTACCACTGATACCAATGTTATTGAACTATTCCTCTCACTGACATCTATGATATGAAACTATTCTTCCCACTGACACCAATCATGGGGCACTATTCCTTTCCCTGATAATAACAATGGAGCACTAATCCTTTCCCTGATCTCAATGATGGGGCACTATTTTTTCCCCTACTACCAACAGTGGATCACCATTCCTCCCATCAATACCAATGATGAAGCATTGTTTGTTCCCATTTATGTCGGGCCATTTTCTACTCACACTGGCCACAGTCCGACCCCCTCAAAGTCTAAAGGACAGTATCCGGCCCTTTGTTCAGAAAGTTTGGAGACCCCTGCCTTAAAGAGAAATTGTCACTTTGCCCATGTAGAACACAGACAGGGCCCCTAAAAAGGCCCCACCCTGACCCCTGATATTCCACTTGACTGAGCTCCCTTGCCCTTCAAATGCTGAAATCAGCAGTGCTAGTGACCTAGGGGGAGTGAGCATGTCCCTTTTGTGTCGCACAACCTGAGCAGTATCACAGGGGCGAAGGTCACATGCTCTTCCACATCTAGAAACATCAGGCAGTGTTACCGACTGAGATAGCTGAAGGAGCAGCAGGGGAGCTTAGGCAAGTTGAATTGATGGGGGTCCTCCTTTGCAGAGACATGGTCACTTTGCCCAGCACAACCAGCAGACACTGTCTCCAGAAGGAACTTCCAGAGCACTGCTTACTTTTATTGGGTCATTTATGGTCAGCTTAATCCAGTGGTGAATTTGGTATTACCTCTTGGAGACTTGGAGCAAGAAGTCGCTGACTGTATTAAGATGGTGGCTGCACATGGACTTTTGGAGTGTGGTTTTCACCCAGTCTTCAATGTTGCAGATTTTTACCCTGCTAGAATACCAGCAAATAGACAGCGATTTCAGAGCTGGACCCAAAACAAAATTCTTCTTGGTCAGTTCAGATGGGGAGCTGAAATGTAGCAGTTTCCATAGTGAAGGCTCCTGGAAAATGTCCATCAGCTTGTGACAGGTTTGTGAAAGGCATTTCTTACTGTCCTTATCCAGGAAGGAAAACAAATGCAGAAGACATTCCGGGTTCAGATCGGTTACAGTTGTAGTAGCCACTCCTGGCATGGTGCACGACCACAGCTGGATGCGATGTGTTCTTTGAGGAGGCTACAGAGAAAATACCATCATAGACAGGCTAGATTTCCTTACCGATGTTCACATACACACAGGGGCGGACTGACCATTTGGAAACTCGGGCACTGCCCAAGGGCCTGGAGGAAGTAGGGGGGCCCATGAGATGCCCCTGGTACCTTTTTCATAGGCTTTGAGTTTGGGCAAGGACACAGAGACCCCATGAGATGCCCCTGGTACCTTTTTCATAGGCTTTGAGTTTGGGCAAGGACACAGTGGCCCCATGATCCCCTATTGCCTGGGGGCCCCAGGAGTTGTCAGTCCACCCCTGCATACACACAGACATTTTAAATTCCATATTTGTGGACACATAGCATTATTCAGACAGTTGTTTCACATTTTTAACTTAGTGCTGTAACCCAGAACACCCAGAATTCATCTTGTATTGGTCTGACTTCAGCTAAATTAATTCAAAGAATTCTCTGTATAAGAAATATGAACTCCTTTTTGAGTAAAACATATCAGTACACATTTCTGGAATAGGTCCAGCTCACACCTGAGTGATTTTGAGCGTATTTCCTAAAACACTTCAGCACTAATCACTGAGATTCCCGTTATAGTCAGTGGTGCTCATTCATACCCGAGTGACACGTTGCTTTTAGCTGGAAAAAGTAAACGAGCCTCTTTGGGGCAGAGTACCATGGTTTTGGTCCCTGTAGACATCATTGCAAGCCCCAAAAACATGCATTTTTTTCTTACATGTCCTGCCTCTACTTTTAGCCCATGGAAATTAGTTACTAGGAGGAAAGTGCTCAAGCCTGAAAATTCTTGAAAAATGCATGAACAAATTTGCATAAAAATGCTCCAAAAACAGGATGCTTGCACACAGTGCTGATATACAATGGATATAAAAAAAAAATAAAAAAAAAAATCTACACACCTCTGTTAAAATGTCACGCTTCTGTGATGTAAAAAAATTAGACAAAGAAATAATTTCAGAACTTTGTCCACCTTTAATATGACCTACAAACTGTACAACTCAATTGAAAAACAATCTGAATATCAGATGTCTTGCAAATTGCACCTGAAATGGGCATGTCATCAGACTTTGAAATCAAGCAACTTCACTGTAAGTTACTTGATTTCAAAGTCGGATTTGATATGACCAGGGTGTGAAGGTTGAAAAAGTTCTGAAATGATTTGTCCTTGACTCATTTAATTTTTTACATTGTAGAAACCTGACATTTTAGCAGGGGTGTGTAGACTTTATATCCACTGTATGAACACCAGATCTTCCTGACAGCAAATCCCTGAATGACCCCCCCCCCCCCCTTTTCCCACATGAAGAACCATGTGACTATGGGGACTGTACAGTGCACACATTTTGTTTACAAGCATATACAGTGCATTCACAAAGTATTCAGACCCCCTTCACTTTTTTCAATTTTGTTATGTTTGATACTACAGTTGTTTAAATTCGACTGCAACATAACAAAAGTGAAGGGGGTAAATGCACTGTATGTGCATAGGAGTTTCTTCCAACTCCCAGCACGGCAAATAATATAATCTACTATTCAAAGTGGAGGTCTTACACTCACACAAAATAGAGCAGTAATGCAATTTTTGTTTTTACCAACCTAAATGTGGCACTGGTTTACAGATATTTCTGCACCAGTGTGTACATGCCCTTTGAAAGTAATGGGCTGGATTCAAATCAGTAAAAGAAAAAGCCTAAAAATGTTGCAATTTTGGCACCCATGCCAAGAGCCCACGTGCTTGAAGAAACTCAAGTGAGAACCACAGTGACCAGCCATATAAAATGCATCTTGCTAACTGGAAAAATACTACATGCTGATTTCCTTGCCTTTTTAGTTGGCAGTGCACAAATTGACCATCTGTAAGAAGTAAAATATAAATGGAATAAGTTTCATAGCAAATAGAAATAAAATAGAAATTCAAGACCATGTACATAATGAGTCTTTCAAACTAATGATCTTGCGTATTGAAATAAACTTTTCAGTGGAGATATCACAATGATCCATGAAACAAATCCGTGTACAGACTTACCAGTTCCAGGAGGACGTTTCAGCTTCACAATATGATCTGCTGTGTAGTCTGAGCTCCAGGGTTAAAGGGCCCAGACATATATGGCAGGAACCACATTGCAGCTGCTGGGTTATATTTAGGCTCACATATCAGCTCTTAAAAAAAAAAAAAAAAATTCCCCTAATCTGCCCTTGTCAGAAGTGTGTATACCCCTCTCTGGTCAATCCAACTACTTCCCACAACATATAGTACTGACATTACAAATGATGGTCTATTGTTGTTAGGGAGAATTTATTAACAACCTTACCAACACTGGCAAGATATGTTAGGAAGGGCAGCAGTATAAGCACACCCTACTTTATTCTGAACTAGAGAGTTCTATCTAGAGATAAACTTAAGTAAACTAGGGGATAAGTACAGTAGATCCCATCATTTTACTTTTTTGTTGGGTTTCTGGGGCAATTTGATCAAGCAGTTGACACTTTTTGGAGGTATAGCACCTGTAATACAGCCTGTACCAAACTTAGGAAAGCCTTGTGACCGTTTAGTCAAGCTTTCCAACACGTGCACCAGATTCAAGAACTCCTTATTGCCAATTGTTCTAAGCCAGCCTTATGCTGGCCATAGACGGGTCGAAAAGCGACAGATTTTTCGGCCAAAAAAAGAAATTAAAAAAAAAATAAATAAATAAATAAAAAATCGGCCGATTTTCGCACGGTTAGTGGGTTAATTGGTCGGCCGTTTTTCGCAGTTTTTTTTATCACTCATTTTGGAAAATTTGTGGCCGATTTTGATGATCTGCCAATCATTTTACCAATAAAAAAATCCATGCATGAGCCATGACCTGCAAGGGACAGAAGTTATGGAGTTAAATTTTTTTTTACCGTTGGTGGTAACGTCGGCCGACTGAACAACCGATTTCTCGTTTTTTTTTTCTTCGAAAAATCAGCTGATTTTCGACCCGTCTATGGCCTGCATTAGACAGATGGAAATTCAGCCAGTTCAGCAGCAACTGGCCAAATTTCGATCCATCTATGGGCAGGCCGGTTGTACAAAAGTCAATCTGATTTTTTTTTTTTTTCCATTATTTATCAGAAACCTCCTGCTGTCAGAATACAAGAGCACAGCAGGAGGGATTCCCCCTTCAACACCAAATGTGTTGATGGGAGAATCCAGCAATTTTCTTTCAATCAGTGTTACCCCCCCTTTCCATGTAACAGGTTCATGAATCTATTTGCCACACCAAAAGAATTTTAAAGAGCATCTAGGACACTCTTTATGAATTGCAGGGTAGGTGTCCTGCTTCTGTTTCTCAGCCCTCTAATGTGCCTCAACACTCTTTGCAAGAACATGGGGGTAACAGGTCTATATTTTAATTTCATAACACAGAGAGGACTCTGGCTCTCTTTTCAGGAGTTATCTGCTTATGAAAGGAGCAATGTTGCTTTTGAAACTCCAGTGCAGGATCCCTTATAGGTGAGCTGCAAGCCTGCGTTTTAAAAGCATGATTGCATTTCTTTTTTTCCTGCTGCCAGCATACACGTGGTAGTAGCCACATCTACTTCCACCCACATACAGTGGGGCAAAAAAAGTATTTAGTCAGCCACCAATTGTGCAAGTTCTCCCACTTAAAACGATGAGAGAGGCCTGTAATTGGCATCATAGGTAGACCTCAACTATGAGAGACAAAATGAGAAAAAAAATCCAGACAATCACATTGGCTGATTTGGAAAGAATTTATTTGCAAATTATGAAGGAAAATAAGTATTTGGTCAATATCAAAAGTTCATCTCAATACTTTGACCTCTGTCATTGCCAACAAAGGATATATAACAAACGTTTCCTGTAAGTCTTCACAAGGTTGGCACACACTGTTGCTGGTATGTTGGCCCATTCCTCCGTGCAGATCTCCTCTAGAGCAGTGATGTTTTGGGGCTGTTGCTGGGCAACACGACTTTCAACTCCCTCCAAAGGTTTTCTATGGGGTTGAGATCTGGAGACTGGCTAGGCCACTCCAGGACCTTGAAATGCTTCTTACGAAGCCACTCCTTCGTTGCCCGGGCGGTATGTTTGGGATCATTATCATGTTGGAAGACCCAGCCACGTTTCACCTTCAATGCCCTTGCTGATGGAAGGTGGTTTGCACTCAAAATCTCAAGATACATGCCCCATTCATTCTGTCCTGTACATGGATCTGTCGTCCTGGTCCCTTTGTGGAGAAACAGCCAAAAAGCATGACGTTGCCACCCCCATGCTTCACAGTAGGTATAGCGTTCTTTGAATGCAACTCAGCATTCTCTCTCCTCCAAACACGACGAGTTGTGTTTCTACCAAACAGTTTCTATTTTGGTTTCATCTGACCATATGACATTCTCCCAATCCTCTTCTGGATCATCCAAATGCTCTCTAGCAAACTTCAGATGGGCCCGGACATGTACTGGCTTAAGCAGGGGGACACGTCTGGCACTGCAGGATCTGAGTCCCTGGCGGCATAGTGTGTTACTGATGGTAGCCTTTGTGACGTTGGTCCCAGCTCTCTGCAGGTCATTCACTAGGTCCCCCCGTGTGGTCCTGGGATTTTTCCTCACAGTTCTTGTGATCATTTTGACCCCACGGGGTGAGATCTTGCGTGGAGCCCCAGATCGAGGGAGAATATCAGTGGTCTTGTATGTCTTCCATTTTCTAATTATTGCTCCCACAGTTGATTTGTTCACACCAAGCTGCTTGCCTATTGCAGATTCAGTCTTCCCAGCCTGGTGCAGGTCTACAATTTTGTTTCTGGTGTCCTCCGACAGCTCTTTGGTCTTCACCATAGTGGAGTTTGGAGTGTGACTGTTAGAGGTTGTGGACAGGTGTCTTTTATACTGATAACAAGTTCAAACAGGTGCCATTGATATAGGTAATGAGTGCAGGACAGAGGAGCCTCTTAAAGAAGAAGGTACAGGTCT